ATCATCAGCACAAACTTCAGTAAGAAATCTCCTTTTGGTTTCTCTTAAATGCTGTAAGAGTGCTACTATCACTTTTCTTGTCTGACAACGGTCTTCATTTGAGATATATCTGTGAATTATTAGTATGATTCCCAAAAGTCTTATGGGTACATAAGTTTTGCGAAGAAACCATTTCGGGTTTCTTCAAAAATGCAATGACACAACTTTCAATAATGTTAGCAGTAGATATGCCATAATGGAATAATAGTAAATCAGTTCCTGTTTGAGTTGACTTTAAAGAGGGAAGGGGAGAAAATAAGGGAATAGAAATAAAGGAGACGCGAAATACGTAAATAGTTTATTAAGCGTGTTTGCGAACACAACAAAAATAAGCGACTATGTATCTGCAAATGAGTAACATAAGTAAACTAAAGCAAAACAAGTAAGAAAAATAATTTATTATTGCAGTAGGATATGACGTCATAATAATTGTTTGTGCAGTCGTAGACTGAGGTGTTGCTATGAAAGTCTCAATTACGTGCAAAGGATAACCAAATATCAATATGTATGAGTACTGCGTACCTAGTGAAGAAAAAATGAAACTAAGAAGTAAATTTAAGTGTAACACAAGTTATTGTCTTAATTACAAACTTCGGAATCTTGTGAATAATATTTGTTTAGAAGGAAAATGAAGAGAGAAAAGAAATAAAAACCTAGTGAATGGTTGTTTGTTTGTTCTCTGAAGAATTGGCTAACACTATGTCACGAAACGTCAGAAAATCTAATTTTTCTACCTAGTGAGTGTGTTCAAGCATGACAATTAGAGTGTAATGAATATCGACCTCTGAAGCAAATCATTAATTTTGTTAGATTTTAGTGCACTCGGATGAATACATGTAAAGTTATATTCTTAGCAAATAAACGGATATTCAATTGGTTGTTTTACTATCCTAACAGAATAGATTTTAAATGAGTAGATTCAAGTAAAATATGCTGAAGCTGTCGTTACGTCAAAAAGCGAGATTCAGATGTATAGCTAACCTACCATTGGCGAAAGAGTGATGAACAGAGTTATATGATAATGGAAATTAGAGGATGTTCTGTACGTAGACTTCAGCAAAGTGTTTAACAAGGTACCACATGGTAGACTACATAGAGTCAACAATAATTGTAACTTGTCATTCGAAGTAGTGGTGTGCGCACTACCAAATAACTCATTCAAGTGAACACTAGACGCTCCGCATGCATGACTTCGCTATTTAGTCCATCGGAAGAATGTTGAACAATGTTGACATTCTTCCTAGGTAAACCACTATGTCGAAGACTGCTCCATAAGATCCTCTTGTCCACACTGTCGTATGCTTTCTCATGGTCATGAAAGTTAGAGTTTAGTAATGAGTTGCATTCAATTGATTGTTTAACGATTATCCGTTGTGTCATGATTTGGTCTGAGCGAGACTATTCCTTGCGGATTACGGTTTTGTAGCATCCATTGATTTTTCGGCATATGTGGTTTCGGACATACTAGACATCAAAAAGATATTCTTGTTGATGGACCACCCTAATTATCGTATTTTGTTTTACATTTTGCGGCTAAGTAAAGTTTTTGTATTGTTTTAAAATTCTACCCACGGCTAGTAATAGTAATGCACCAAGTAGTTTGAATGAGACTCCTATTGTCCAAGGGATTTTTTAGCAGCGAGAGAGCACTTTTACACATCCTTAAGGGATTGCAGAAGGTAATTGATGTATGAACGTCTTAAGTGAATATAATGTTTATCCATCACATCCATCTACACAGTAAAAGAAACCAAAGCGAAGTTTGGAAGTTTTAGTTTGTTTTCTTATAATAAATGTTTGACGCAATTAGAAAACGATCCGTTGAGTAGGAGGTTGTCTGTTGAATGTGGCATTTACAATTAGTTTCTATTACAAACATAATTCTCTAGCCATCAGATATCGTCGCGGCTGATACAGAAGGAAGATTCCAGCACCTTGAGGAACACAAATGCTTACTTTACAGAGCAGCAGTCAACCCAATTATATGACCGTAGTTTATAGTAACTTTGAGCTGACCTTACGTATCATGTAAGAATTGTGTAAGTAAATCGGTCACTAAACGTAAACTGCTTTTCTTCGTGTTTGCAGCAGTACGGAAATGTATACTATTTAGGCTGGCTAGTCTAGGTACTTAAAACAGTTCCACCTGAAGCCATCTTGGGTTTCACGTTTCAAGTGTGCGTTTCGACTATTTTGTAGTCGATGGTATACTCGCTAAACTAAACCTCAGAATATAGTCACTAGTGTATCAAGTTACCTTATATATCAAGCTGTCTCTGAGTCCTGTGGAGAATATAATGGGTCCTTCGTAATCACTTTATTTACAGTAGCACTTATTTGCAATGTCCCAACATTTGAATTAGATAAGTAGTCCATGATCCACATAACACTTCATATAAATCTCTTTACCACCTGGATATTGCCAGTGCTTAAGACAAACCAAACGTCTTCATAACCTTTTACATTGATCACTAGTGCCCTTATGTCGACATTTATAGTTGTTATTACTGCATGTTAATGAACTTTATATACTGCGCTAACTAAAGAGACCTCTTAAAAGGCATGATCCCTGTCATTTAAGCTTTATTTTCATAAGTCGTGTCTCCAATTCTGAATTTTACCGCCAAAATATCACATGCCCCACATCAAATTACACGTTAACCCCGCTTTCACACTATTTTTACGTCATTTGAACCCAACAGTTAGTTGAACTACTCCTGACATTCTTGACCAAACCTTATTTCCGTATGCATTTAGGTTTATGCATTCGGATACCGCAATAGTTATCTAAGTGGACGTTCAAAACATTTGACAGCTTAGGGATTAACACAGTTATTGCATTAGTATATTGTCATGCTTCATTAAAGTGTCGATTTACTTATAACGTAGTTGTAGTTAGTGTCATTAGATCATTAAAGGCTACCTAGCGGTGTTCGGATTAACCTGTTCCACTGTAAGAAGACAGAATGACTTCCCTTGATATATCGAGCTTTCCGGACAAAAGGGTTGATGTGAGATATGTGGGACCAGTGAAATGTCACTGTGCTCTAGCCAAATCATCCTGCGATTGGGTCACTGAATATCGGACAGACCATCGATCCCTGTCAAAGTCAAGGACAACCAACGCGCATCAGTTAATCGTACGCCATGAAGTGGCCCATGCGGTGGTGGTCACACTTTCGCTTGTACCTACTTTAACTAATATATTTCTGTAATAACGTCCTTTTTGTTGTACAGTCGTCAAAGCATTCATAGTATCTTGGTACGACGAAAGGATATTCCACATCAGATGTCGACTGCGAGGTGTGACTTCGACGTTAGCTGTTGTCACATTATTCCCGTCTAGCTCGAGTAGGCTCCAAGTCATTCGACAGAAATCATCAATGTTGATGATCTACAGGTATATCATTTCACAGAATCCCTTGATCTAGCATGAGAGTATTAGACATCTTTATTAAACACCATAAAAACATTAATTACAATGATATCTATGTATTGACGGTTGTAGCCTTCACACGTGTCCATTTCTAAACTCGACCTTCCTCAGCTTGTCCCCGAGCTAAGTTTATGTCCGTAAGAATAGAAAATCCGTGGAAACTATAAGAATCTAGATCACAGTAAATGTGGAATTTATTTGGATGCACGCTGTGATTACTGAATGAAGCATAGGTTAACTGAAATACGACTCCGTGAGTACAAGCAAGCAGTTAGTTTCTGTCATATGGACACTTTTAGCGCTTTAAGTTTTCTACGTGGAAAGGTGATAAGGATTTAGAGATGTAATTTTGGATAACCCATTTCTAAATGAAAAGCAGAACAGATGCAATTTACTTGATGTATTATCATGCGAGGTGGTCCAGCGACACTAATTTGTTCAAAGGACATTATTCGAGTGCACGAAAGCTGGATTCTTTAGTCTGTCTCAACAAACAGGACACTGGGCTGGATTAAAAAACTTATTGCAGACACTGATACAAGTCAACCGACCTACTAGTCTTTTTAAAGACTTCGTTTAAGCAATGAAAAGGGAATTTCCAAGAGTAGTATCAATCACCAGCTTAGCAACCAGTGTAGTGAGCAATAAAAGCGTGACCTCATTACTACTGGGGTCAAGCCCAAAGATTATTTCCGTATCAGAAACGACTTTCGATGTCTCTTATTATCATTTCCGTTTCCTTTCTAATTCTTTCACTTCCATCTTCTTACACATTACCAATTAGTAAACTTATTCGCCGTTCTCGAAGTAATCATCTTCTCTCAGCACTCGAGTTATCACTTATTGTTTTCACATTACGACTAATCGACCCCCTGTCTGGTAATGTTATGACTGGTGGAATATACGCATTGGACATTACCGAGTACCTGGAACCGTACCAAAACAACGACAGGCGAGCGCAAAGCAATCAATCGGTTTAAACGAACTGGCGAAAAAGATATTACAAGAATATATCGGAGATTATTGGCTCAATAATCCAATAAAACACGTTTGGAGGCTCTTGAATGATTGAAACAATAATTATACCAGTCCACATTAAGGAAGTGTCCTACAAAACCTAAATGCGAACCTCCACGAGGTGAAAAATCTCACCCTCCATCAACAAAGACCACAGTTCAAAATTCGATGAAAATTGTATTTTATGGTACCTTTGTTTTGATCGACTACATTTTGCTCGTTCTCTATAGTACCTAGTGTAGGCTGTTCAAAAATGAAAATTAAAGTCGTGACGAATGACTGTATAATTCATATCCTTTTTTATCATGCTAAAAGTGGTTTAATATTGTCATATTAGGAGTTATTTACTTAACAGCATGAACATAACGATTTAGCTAGTTCTGTTGACTGGGTGTCTTGCGATGAAATAATTTCGACTGCTGATGACCGAGTTGTTAAATATTGGAATCTGATATCAGATCAAGTGTCAGACTTATTCAGCTTGCCGCAAAATGTATTTCCAACCTGTATGGACTGGCATCCTAGACAAAGGACGAAACAATCTACCAAGGCTGCAAGAGGGAGTGAAATATTCTTACTCGGAGCTACTGATGGTAAAGTTGCACGACAGTTTTTGAGTTTTTTTTAGGGAAATGCCACATAATTTCTAAAGAGAAAAGAATAGAGAGAACTTCGGATGCTCATCAAGGGGCTGTTCTATCTGCGAAATGGAATTTCGATGGAACTTCTTTTGCCACATGTTAGTGTGCATCATGCAAATAACACTGTTCATTTAGCTGGAGAAGACGGACAAATAAAAATCTGGTCACGGAGTGGGATGTTAAGATCCACTTTGTGTCAACACAGTAACTTGGTTTTATATTGTGTAACGAATTTTTCCTCAATCAGGTTATCCGATCTACTCGTTTTCATGGGGTGATAACTCTAATATGATGCTTTTTTCCCTTGACAGACAACTAGTTATACAATCTCTTCAAGCGAATGTTAAACCTTTTGCCGTAAGTGAGTTAAAAACCTCAGAGACTTGCTTCTTGTAGTGGAAAGCTCATGATGGTGTCATTTTGCAAGTTGATTGGAATGTCATCAACAATCAACTTATTTCCGCTTCAGAGGATTGCAAATACAAAGTAAAACACCACGATTATAACCGTATTTTAGGTATGGGACAATTACGGGAGGCTCTTGTATTCGAGTGCGCCTTTTGAATATCCAGTTACTTCGATTTCATGGTCTCCTGATGGTCAGTTATTTGCAGTTGGATCGTATGCTACTGTAGTGTTGTGTGATAAACTTGGGGTGAGTTTACGATATTTGTCTTGTATCGTTCATTATTTGTCTGATGTAAAAGGAGACTTCCACCACAACTTCGTCCAGTTGTGGGATATTAATTATACTTTAATCCTCGGAAATGATTTATACTTAAAGGATAAAAAGAGTAAAACATAAAAATACTGGAGTCATTGTTTAATATGGAGATACAGACCATCAACGTACTATTTGTACTATTTTAGAATAAAACCAGGAAATACATTTTAAAATGTCAAACGTTTTCCTCTGGAAAACATTAGCATTTATGGTTCTCATATTTTGAAAACGCTGAAGAACTTCAATAGTGTTCTTAGATGAATTTAATGTTGTAAGTTATATTTTGGACCAGTCGAAGACATCATCTTAGATACGTGTTTATCGGTAAATTTTTGGCTTTTCAGAATAACTAATCTATCAAAATATTTTGGAACTTAAGTTTGCATTTGCATTTTGGTAACAGTTTCAAGTTCATCTCTAATCCTTTCTAACTGAAACTGAAGCTGTAAATATGCAGTTGTGATGAATCTATAGGGAAATCTAAAAATTATAGTTACGTCATGTCTTGGTTGTTTTTAGTCTCGTTAATTATTTTGCATTTGTTAGCACTCATATTCATAGTGCATCTTCAACCATTTGGGGACTGATACTCATGGAGTGGTTTGAGATTGTATCACTGTGATAATCTGAAGTATTTGAATTATAGTACGAACTAGGAATCCCAGAAATAACGCAATTTAACCGAGAAGTACTAGATGAGCACGAACGAAGGTAATGTATTTGGAATTCGAAATCAAATAACCATCAAGTACAAAGAGATCATTAGTTCATACAAACACTATGATCACTTACAGACATTGCGATCGAATCATTCAAGAATCGATATAGGTGTGTTCTAGTTTGTACCTGTGTGGCTGTTTAGATTCAAGATAGAATCACATTAGTGTTGATCACTGAAATCAACATAGATCAAGTCCAAATTCATAGGGCTTCATGTTTGCGACTGTTTTGACTGATAATAGCAGAGAAACCGCTAGAGATCAGCAAGCATGGAACAGTTATTTTGTTTTAATTTTGGGTTTGTAGCAAGTCTGAATTTCAGGAGATACTCTACAGGTTTCAGTAAAGAGATGAATTTTATACATTTCGATCGCATCAAAAGTGAAGAAGACATCATTAATGATATTAGAACATGGTCGTACCATTTTATTGATCGATCGAAGTTTTTGTTGTATGCCACTGGATTTCGACTTATGACCACAGTCCATAGGTTTTTAATGGTTCTTCAATGCACATCAGTTCGTTATATTGCGCTACGTTCTTAACATCACCCAATAGTAATCTGAATTAATTTAAATGTTATTTCTTGAATTTTTAACTTTCAGTGGATTCATGCTTTGGAGAAAACACATACTGGTAGTGTTCTGAGTATCAAATGGTCTCCTGATGGTAATCAAATAGCGTGTGCTGGTGGAAATGGTCGAATAATTAATGGATATGTTACTGAAAGATGTTTAGAATGGAATGGTTTTGAAGCAGTGTTGACAGATGAACGAACTGTTGTATTGCACAATCTACGGAATGAATCGATAGAACGTTTAGAATTCCGTGATCGCGTATCAAAAGCATCATTCAGTTTCAATTACTTTATTGTAATAACTAGCACTCAGTGCTATGTATACAAGTGAGTGTTTAGTATTTTTTTATAAACCATTTTGTCGTCTAGTTCCGAAATCGATTTCAGCACTGTTTGAAATCAATAAGGAATCTTTTGAAAACCATAAAGCACTTGATGGTTGGCTTTTTCTGGTTGTAAACTCCCCATCCATTATCTCACTAATGACTGAATCAAGAACATCCAAGTTCCATGGCGAGCACGAGCGCCAAGTCGAAACTTAGTGATTTATATTTCTAGCTTGATCTAATTCGTGACGTGGAATTGATTCAGTTTTCTTGAATCATGTTATCTATGTCAAACCTTTATTATTACCACAGATACCATTGACAGTACTCAGGCATTTATCTGTACAATTCGATCTCATTATGCTTATATAGCTTGGCAACTTGAACTGACATACATATGCGCCAAACTCTAAGTCGCTGGGGAATTAATAAAAGACTGACAACCAGCATCCAATGTTATTGAGGATATCTGCGTTACTCATATATATATATATATAATAGTCATTCAACTGAATGGCTTGTAGAGATAAGTTTGATTCGGATGACAGGACAAATAACTCAGTAAGCTACTAGTGTATCATTTTATTTTATTTGTAGAAGAGATAACTAGTAAGGATTAGGGGGACGTTTCGATCTGTATATTAAGTACTAATAAAAAGGAGTTCAAATGTAGTATTTTCATCCCAACTACCCTAAGTCGTTTGAAATATAACAAAGTCCCATTAATTAGTGAATATTTTAAGTAAGTAAGTTCACTTCATACCAAAGGACATGAAACTAAACCCTGGTTAAGAAGTTTAATCATAAAATTGAGCCAATACAGTGAAGATGTCACAGGTATTTGGAGTTTGACAACGCTTTAACCAGTAACACCTTCTAATATGAATCGGACACACTAAGTGAAATCAAAAGACAGAAGAGAGGAGGTTCGAAGATATATTTGATAGGCTATCAATATATAGAGGATCGTCTGATCTAATCTGGCTAGGGATTACAGAGGATGTTGAACACGGCGTTCTCACTCGTGATCTTTTGCGGATGCATGACCGAGCGTCTTCAGTTAGGTGAGTCCATTCAAACTAATGTGGTCAGTATCCAATGTCAAAGACTTACAGGGCTATTTATTCTGGGGATTTATTCACCACTACAACAGTATTTATTCAATCAAATAATTGTCTAATATCTCAATATTATGAAAATTAAAGCTTACAATTAGTAATTTTTAAAATAATTCAAGTGGTGACTACTTAGCGTTACTAAAAACTTGCGACTGAGTTGTAGTATTCAGACCATGTGGTAAATATATATGCATGCGTAAAAAGAGTAACCAGTTACTGTTCTTAATATCAACAAAGTTTATTTATTTATTTATTTGGACACATGAATATTGGTACAAGAGAGCGCCAATATATATGCGCCACACAAAACAATGAAAATTCGAGAGGAATACAAAGAAAGAAAAAAAGCTAAGGAGCGCAACAAAAAAAGAGAGAACAATAACGAAGAGATTGGTGTAAGGTAATGTGCTAGTAATCAGGGAACGCAAAGGTACAATCGGAAGAAATCTTTCAGGTAAGGGAGACAGAACCACTTTTTATGAAGAAAGTAAAAGAAGGTTACAGCCCCCGAATGCCCTGATACGGCCGAGAGTGGGGTGAGTCCGCTCTCCCTCTCGAAATACTCTCACACGGCCGCGCGTATACAGCCTCTGCCAGGGAAGTCCTACTCATTGCCTTCTCGTGGCGGGGGTGTTGTTTACGAAAATGAGAGGACGAAAAGCGAATGTCCGGCGCTTTAACCGGATCACAAACCAATGGTGCACATGGGCTCCAGTATCCTGAGGGAACAAATGGCGTATGAACCAATCTTTGGTCACCGGCTACCATGGGATTGCATCTCCTTACGATGCTCCACTGCCTTGTGGGTTAGACCTTTAGGTCAAAGGCTCGGGGAGTGGCCCCCTAAGATAACCACCTGCTTCGGTCTGGGCACCCGGGCAGTATCACAGCCCACACACAAACGATGAACTCTATGTCTATGGCAACTACTTTTCTCGCTCCGAAAAAATATCAACAAAGAGAAAACACAAACCTCAAAAACAAAATTCGTATTTGTTTCACAAGATGGTGAATATATGAACTCAACAACTCAGAGGATAATGAGCTTAGGATTCGAAATGACTGGTACATGTTCCGCGTTACAGTATGGGCATAACCATTGGTGTACAGGGGAATCCAGCGGAAGAGTTTAAAGTGAGGCCAACACCAAAATTTACCAGGCTTTAGGTAGTTTCTGTTTCAAGACATCCATCATTATTTGTTAGTTTAATTATGTATTACAATATTTAACTTCTTATAAATTTATTTTTCAGTATTAAAAATTTCAATACACCCACCATTATTGAACTTAAAGAGTCCAACGTTACTCATATTTCTCAATGTCAGAAGTGAGTTATTTAACATCTTACCATTTCGTAATAATGTTTTAATCATTCGAGTGGTTAAAAAAGATTTTCATGAGTAAAAATACCTGACTAATCAATTTACCGAAATATTTAACTTACTAAAATCTAGATAATATAAAAGCTTCGAATCAAAATGGTTGCTTCTCAATGACTTATCATAAGTTTGATTTCTAATTGTGAAAGTATAACCTTCAGGCGATATAAATTTATTGAAAATTCAAAATTTACAAAATAACCGGAAGAATAATGCTTCAGCCACTAAAGTATAGTTCATAGATAATTTAGGATCTAATATGGATACTTATCAGTTCAACTTGTCACATCACTACATTAGCTTATTAAAAGAAAACTTTCTGTGAGAAGAAGCTGAGAATAGTCCATTTTGAATGTGAAACCACTGTCTTACAAAAATGCTCACGGTAGGACTAAAGAGATTCATACCACTTGTGAAACTGAGTAACAATAGAGTCGTTAATGAGACTCCATTCCAACCGAATAGTCTGAAATTGAAATGTCTCCAATCTTATAATTTACATCATGGACTCTTCAAAGTTAAGCATGTAAACTATCGGATGCCAGCCCAGTGATCTAGATTTTGGGGATTTATGTTGTCTGAGCTGATTTAGTCTTGAAATTTCCATTGTTTTCCTAGACAATATCAGCATATATTTTAAGAAAGTAAGCTATTAAGATTCTTTCCCAAGTGATTAAAACTTGTTCTGTTGCTTTTAATTTGATTAACTTCATAAAGATTCTCTTTTCTTAAAGGTATAACTCGACAGAGGTAAAGTTAGAGACACCTTACACAGTAAGGTAATTAGAAGAACAATAAATGTTAATGTAGCTGAACTTTCCAGTTGATTATTATTAGTTTTTCAACTAAAGAGTAAGTTACTTGTTTTCGCACCATTACCGTGCATTTACGAATCCAACTGATCCTATGGTGAAAGCTATTTTCGACGTTCTATTGAACAACTGAGTCAACAAATTAACAAAAATGTCTTTTTACGGGTTTAAAAGGATCAGACAAAATCCATATGCAACTCCGTTCTATCGCATTAGAACGACATTTTCCATGTGGTAGATAGGACAGATGTAGTCAGAGTGATTCGACCTCGTATCCTACATATAACAGACCTTATAAGGATTGGAGCTAACAACTTTAACCTCTCTATTCAAAAGAAATTTATAACACGCTTGTCTCCTTCTTGTCTGGGAAACTCAATAGAAAATTCTACCAGTTTATCACACCCTTTGCTTGTTTGTTTTGTTACACCCCTTTTGTCCCTACTAACATATTTGAGCTAATTAATCACGAATCTCCTATTATTTAGTTTCTAGTAATTTTTATGTTGATAAGCTTATTTTCTCAAGTTTCGACCTACTCTTTATGTCAAAATATTTATTCAGTCTATTATAATTATTATAATTAATACTAAACCTTTAATATTGCTATCAATTTATACTTCCTACTTATTATGATTAGTCATATAATCCTTTTTCAGTATTATCATTGACTTGTAAATTGTCATGATTGGTTTTGTACTTTTCATGCACGGAAATAAATATTATGGTGTACTGGACCAGAACCTAATCAAAATCGAATCAACTATGTTGAGTGTGAGGCAGTATATTGGAAGATGATTACGCGATATTACGACTCGATGGAATTAAAACATGTAAACCATCCAACGCCGTGTTAGTGGCATACAGGCTGAGTGTTCGCACACAGTGCCGAAGGTTGGAGATGCGCACTACTATTATTATTACTGTCTAGATATTTAAACGTTGGTACAAGGAGGCACTACATATATATGCGCCACACAAGTGATTCCATTTGTGTGTATTAGGATAATGCCAGGGCTCCAACACCGAAGCGCACTGCTAAGCAGTCCCACATTAGAACGAGGTAGCTATCTGGTGCCTCCTCATTTATGATGATTGTTTAACGAAGATCAGTTTGTCATTTTCACCATGGAATTCAAAATATCTTCACCCCCATGAGAGACGATATTATTCTTTTAAGTGAGTTATTCTACTTCAGGGGATAGGAATTCTCAATAATCCAACCATAATTATTCTGTACCATAATTTGAAAAAACAGTACGATCGTGGTATTTACAAATCTTTGATTATTTATAGATATTAAACCGAATTTCCATTATAAGAAGATATACGTTGATGGAACTACTTTCAGACTTGTTAAATTTGAAGATGACTTCCATCATAGACTGATGTATGTAGAAAAACAATTGAAATCTGGGCCACATGATCCTAACTCATTAATATCGTGTTCACCACAAGATCTGATATCAGTAAATGATGAAAGCTATCTTCCAAAAAATGGATTTCAGTTAAAAAAAATACTGTTTTCTTTAAGTTAAACAATAATAATTACTAATCTTTTTACTACAGATATTTTGCTTTAGCTGATGGATCCAGTGTGTATATCTACAATTATGATGTACGTCTTGTTTGTTCATTAAAACATGCTAATATACACGCGGAACAAATTTATGCAGATTCTTTAACTATGAGCAATGATGTAATTGGTATTAAAGATCAATTAGATAAGAAAAGTTAGTTTGTTTAAATTAATATGATAAGATCATTGTTTATTAATCCTATGAAGACCTGTCTGTTACATAATCTAGTTATTTTGAAATCCTGATCAGTAATTTATCCAATTAGTTGGAATTTAATATTAAACATTAAAACTGGGATAAATATGCATCTATCCAAGTTGTTTTACCTTCTATCAGCAAAATATAAGAGGAAATAGACAAAACCTAAATGAAAGAGATTGAAATAGTAACAGTATCAGTGATGATAAAAAGTTAAACAGAAAATTTATTTTATAACAAATCAAACAGGTCGAGAAATAAAAGGTATGAGATAATATGTAAACTCAAGAGTTAGAGGATGATAAAGAACAAATAAAACTGAACTACTATAACCGGTTTTGAAAGATTCCACTTGATATCTTCTATCACAGAATATGATTATCATGAAAACATGTTCCAAGTCGAAGTCCAATGGTTAGTGAATTATTAAACTAATAACACATCTTGGTTTGGATGTTATGGATTTTTTTTCAGCCCTCTTTTAACCTAGACACCATTGACTGTTGTAGAAGGTCGTGGTTAAGATATATGTTCTGCATGCATGTTGAATGTTTGTGGTCTTATCAAGTCGACTTAGAATTTTGGCTTAGTATTAGTATATCTAACCTCACCATTACTCATTTATTGGTTCCACTGTACTTGAACAGCATATGAAAGGCATTTGTAATCGAATACTTGCAAACTTCATCGGCTTTTTTTATTTTCAAAGGTAATATTTTATGGGGATAAAGTAACATAGAGAAAGATGATACGTAGCCTACTCATTTTGATAGACAGGTGTGCATTTAGCTTGAATCACTGGCACCTTAATTTAACGGAAGTAAAACTAACTTCTTCTTTATCCACATTAAAAAATTACCAACGACCGACCCATCAAAGCTGATAAGATTCCCATGATATATAAAAAAGTGAATATGCGTCATGCCGTGATAGATTGTGTGTTGCTTTAAACCAATATGATGGAATGATCAGTGAAAATAGATAATTGACATAAAAAATAATCATAATTTTTTGTGGTTGTCGATATTTAAGAATCATAACTTGTGTTTGAAGTAAACCATCAAGTTAACCATGTTGATTTTGGAATTGGTTTTAAATTGAAGTCATAATGTAATTACGAATTATGCAACAAAGTTGTTTATTATTTTGTGAACTAATAAACCATTGAATAGTTTTGTCATATACCAACATCAGTTAGTTAATCATTGAAAACCACAGGGTGGGGCAATAAACAGTAGTTCACTTCTAATATAGAACAAAATGACAATGCTCATTAACTACCCAATCATGATTTGAACCCAGAACCCTCAGATTTCACTGCAAGCACATTGTCAAGGAATCAGCTATTAAGACTAAACAGCTGTCGATTTCTTTCATGTTTATGGTAGCACCTTAACTGCTGTCAATTCATAACAGAGATCACCTACAAATTAAACTAATCTATTTTAGACTCTTCATTAAATAAATATTTATTAATCTATGTTGCCCTAACATGAAAAAAATGATTTATAATACAGGTTCTATTCCTATTTGATTTACTTTTCAGTTATTCACTTATTTGATCCATCGAGTGGTAAAACGCTAGGTGATGGGAAACCAATATCACATTCGGTAAGTGCTATCATTTTGTTATATTATTATTGAATAATATCTATAACCATTAAACCGAATCAAATTCTATAGTTTATTTACATCACAATCTGAAGTTAGGTGAACAACCATTAAGTAGATAAATATCCTACAGAAGAGGGCCAAACAAAAGTTGCCAAATGCGAAGGACACTCTGTGTCAATCAAAAATTTCCTGATGCCAAGTGCATGCGATTGGTCACGAAATAGTTTTATTTCTTAAGGAATATATATGGATGTGAATCGGTGTAGCTTAGTTAACCTCCATCCTCACTCTTATCCTTCTCACTTAGTAGCCGGTTGGATGTTGGATATAGGAAGTTTGTGTATCAGTAACAGTCTTGAACATCATTCGTCATAACAGAATGTTTCTGTCCTACAGGAAATAATTACTTAGTTTCAAGATTTTCATTAGAACGGACTCAGAACAGATCTAGAATCTGTAATAAATTCTGTTTATTTGAATAGGTTGATTCACATTTTTAAGTTCAAATGATCTTTTATACAATATGATTTTTATTCAATACTAACGGAGTATCACAATTTCATAACAGACTTCATGAACTTCATAGGTCAACAATTTTTAGTGAGAACTTTTGGAAACTAATTTCCAAGTTATTCAGTCTTGGTTCTTTTTTAAAAAAAAGATCAAGTAATTTGAAACCTTAAGTATTAAAAGGAAAACTGACTATAATTTGAAGAAAGCTAATGAAACAGTTTCGTTTAACATAGGGCTTGATTTAGTCCCAAACTCACTTTTCCTACTGATTACTATTGGGGATGTTAGATCCCCAGAACTCACTTGGTAAATGCCTTAATTTTGTAATTTTATTTTGAAAAAATTGAATTTCCTTGTTTTCGCGCCAAAGGCGCTCTTTTTACCTTCATGTCGTATATTCCACTTGGGAGAATCGTTAACGCTATTGGTCTGTTGTGCATTTTAGTATGCTATTTTGTAACGCTTTTCAATGACAGTTTTATGCTGTATATATAAGTTTAATTTGTGTCTGTTGTTATTGCTCGCTCGTGTTTCTGGCTTTTTGCGGAATATACTTCCTTGTTCGGACTTCGACTTCTCTCTCTAGTTAGCGGGGCTGGGTCGCAATAGGATAGCTAGTTTATTGGTCTTTGATCACAAGTATTTGTTCCGTTCGCAGACTAAGTGAACTCGTCACCGCTTGAAACCTAGTGATTACATAGTTTCTGTTAGGAAATTTTTCATTTTTAAAAATGTGGATCATATTTACTTGAATTAAATTATTTCATCTCAATTGTACAGACTGACTATAGAATATCCAAAATTAAATTTACAAAACGTTTTGTTCTATATATGCGCTATGATAATTTGATTAAAGGATACTGACCTTCAAGATTCAATTGATATACAAGATCTATCAGCTGATTTATGCTATTGAATATTTTCCTTAAAATATGAGCTGTACCATTCAATAGACCAATGGATTTTTTAAAATGATTTATAATTGTCTTTCCTAAGTTTTATTGACGAATTCGGGTAATTATCAGTAATGAGTTGTGGAGATTGTTGAGCTTGGATTAATATAATAAATGGATTGATGTTAGAATACCATAGGAAATATAGAATAACTGGACGACCTTTTCGTCCTAGCATGGAACTCTTCATCAGCACTCATCCACGATCCAATAGGTGGGACTCGAACCTAGAACCTTCGGACTCGCGCACAAACGCTTAACCTCTAGACCACTGAGTCGGTATCTGACGATGTTAAAGTCGAACAACAATCAATCCACCATATTACATGTCCATCTTCCTTTATCTCTATTGAGTAACTGCCTTACAACGAGATGGGTTTCCTGGAGCTCTAATGAAAAGCCATGACCCGTGGAGTTCATCCGTGTCTGTTGTGAGGCAGTTACTCACCGAAGACAATGGAAGACAGTAGCAAAATATCATGGACCAGTTGAAGTTAGACACTAAAACCGTTAGATGCCGGCTCAGTAAGCGTTTGCACGCGAAACTGAAGATCCTGAGTTCGAGTACGCGTGCGGGATTGTGTATGCACACTACTGAGGAGTCCCATACTAGGATGAGTACGAATGAGTTCGAAATCGAGCTTCATGATTTTCGATCAGTTATTTTCAAACATTGGATTATACTATGATTATCAAATATAATAATATACTGTTTCTGTTTTCCATTTACTTGACATTTCACTGATACGACAGCCTTTTTTCTTTGTTTTATAGAATGAAATTATTAAAATCAGTTTAAATCAAATGGGTAATTCATTTGATCGTCGATTGGCTCTGTTAGATAATAACAAAGACTTATATTTAATGTCAATTAGAATACTTGGTAATCAAAGGAAAATGGTTAAATTAGGTAAGTTTATCAGGTGACTGAGACAAAAAGTCGAATTGAGTATTACTTGTGGTCAGATTTTGTCAACTTATGTTGATTGCGGTGTAGGCGAGATACCCATTTGTCAACTAAAGGATATGTTTATTATGCAGTATTTTGCTCCTTTCTATTTATAAATTTGAAATACAGCCTTTTAAAGCAGAAGCTACTAGTATTCGATCACAGCTGTCTTCAAAGCATTGGTTGTATATTCTGCGATCAATAAATTAGTAATTCTGAGGTCATACGCAGAGTACTAGGTAAGTATAGCAAATCAATTGACGAAGTGATGGATCTTTATCAACTGAGATTGTTGGGACATGTATTACAAATGCAAATCCACTGATTACCTCGACGGGTGATAATGGCTGATGTAGGAGTAGGTTGGAAAAAATTTATGGTCGAGGAAACCATACATAGCATCAGTCCATGAAGTCATTGACAAATGGACTGATCCGAATTAATAGATATAATTACCTGGTTGGGGTCAGAATTTAGTTTGACAATTATAAACACCTAGATTCAGTGGTTAGTAGAAACAAGTTTCACTGGGAGTTTCAATAAACATAAAGATATAATCGGTGAATTAGTCTAACGATAAGACAAAATTTATCCTTCAGATTAAAGCTTTAGTCATTAGCAAGTACAATCACTAGTTTTTGTCAAGTCAGTATTGCGGGTTTACGACCATGTCTAAGTAATGTTCATGAGATAAATATAGTAATAGGTCTTGCTATTTAAGTATTTCGTTTATGCATATTTTTCATTCAATAATACTGATCGATGTCCAATTATTCTTGAGTTATATAAATTTAACTTTTCTTTTACAAATTCTGTTTAGCTACAATGGTTAGTTCATTTCTATGGGCTGAGACATCAAATATTTTGGCAGCCATAACAAACGATAAACTTGTCATCTGGTTCTATCCTGATATTGCACTGACCAATAGTGATATACTTAACTTAACACAAGAAGAACATAACATAATGTAAATTTTATTGAAGGAATTTCGAAAGTTCTTTAATTGGATGGATGATTGCTGATTTTTTTATTGATTGATTGAGCCTACTTTATTGAAATTCAGTAGTAAAAGTGGTAATTCCTATATTCCAAATACCTGGTTGTTTCACCTAAACTTTTTTTCTAAAACTGATTTATAATAGTGAATTATTCACTTAGTCGGTGTATTTCTTCACTTAATAATCAACATGATGAGGTTTAAAACAGATGAATTCTGTCCCAAGTAAAAGAAATATACGTCCAAATATTTGAAGTGGTATGTATCCGCAATCGGATTGGGTGCTTTTTCATTGACTAAGTTTTCCATTCACCCACATAATTTTATATAGTTATTAGTACTATAATACACACACATCTATTAAACACAACATAGATGATCAAATACCAAATAAAAAGGGTTATTGTATCTCATAGTTCGAAATTTTAAAGTGGGTTTAGTATGTTTCCTCTTAATTAAACTCTTTGATTTTCAGAAAGTCTCTAATGATCTCCTAATAATCCCGAATATAAAATTTCAATGTCTTTACTGAATATTTTCTTAAGATAACATAAAAATCTATAATTTATGTCGGGATCATATGTTGATAATTAGAAAACGTTCGATTACTTTAGTTTTCTAATAGGATATCATACATATATGATGTATTTAATACAAGTCAGCACTGAATTCTTATCTCCGAAGTTAGGATTAATGTAGTTTTACATTATATACCGGTGTCAGTTAGGCAACCATTGTAAACCAGGAAGGACTGGATAGTTGTTCTGCAGTGTACATCCAAAACCTTATTAGGAGTGGAACATAGGACTTTCAAGTCTCTTGACGAGCCCTTAACCTTTATACCACCAATCTGAAATCCAGTAGCTTGGATTCTTAACTGCAAATGATTTACAATACGACCTATCCATCTTTTAATGGCATTGGTAGGTAGCTAACTGCCTCACAATCGACATGGTTAGACTCCACTAGTCACGTCTTTAACTCCGAGAATCACTTTTAAAAATTATTCACTAGTGGGTGTATGATGATTCTGTGGAGGACTAATTAATTTTCATCAGTGTGGGCTTTCTTTTTTTTAAATTATTAGATGTACTTAGATTAAGTCCATACGTTTTTCCCTTGTCGATATTCATGTGTAGCAAATGTGAATACGTATCTTAAGTCTCATTTCATCACATTTAAATAATTTCATCAACACTTGGATCTGGGTACATCCAACTGATGAGTTCCAAATTAAACGAAACACAAATCTTAGATTTCATTGTTAGCCACCATCCAACTCTAGTGAAAATTCTATTTTCTCCTTACATAGTACGCAAATTATTGATGGCTGATTTATTGTAAATGAATTTGTGAAAGCATCAAGAATCTAGATTAGCAATTCAAACTTTGTTCAAGTTCAAAAACGTATAGTACGTTAACAAGTATGCTCGCGGTGGTTTATTCTATCTGTACATTATGACATACACTTTTCAGCGTATACAGACTAGTGAATTGATATGAATGTGAATTTAAATGAATTATGGATACTGTCCAATTTATAGTGAGTTTTTATTATAGGATGATATTTCATTGAGTTACTACAAAAATGTATAAACGATGAACAAGTAAAACTTTAAGTTTGACTCAGTAAGTTCTTTAGATTATGTCCGACGCGTAATTGTCAGGTTTTGGGTTTGATCCCCGGCATGAAATTATTTACTGATAATCTTTAGATCAGAATAAAAGACATATCAGAACTTCTTATTTTTCAACTTTTGCGGATGGTGTCAGTGTGTGATAAAATCATGTTTTTAAAATACTTACGTACTTACGCCTGTTACTCCTAATGCAGCATAGGCCGCCGACCAGCATTCTCCAACCCACTCTATCCTGGGCCTTCTTTTCTAGTTCCATCCAATTCTTGCTCATTTTTCTCATGTCTATCTTCATTTCTCGGCGTAATGTGTTCTTTGGTCTTCCTCTTTTCCTTTGGCCTTGAGGATTCCATGTGAGGGCTTGTCTTGTGTCGCAGTTGGGTGCTTTCCTCAACGTGTTTCCTATCCACTTCCAACACTTACTAATTTCATCTTCCGCTGCAATCTGGTTTGTTCTCTCCCACAGTAGGTTGTTGCTGATAATGTCTGGCCAATGGATCTGAAGTATTTTGCGTAGACAATTGTTAATAAACAATTGTATCTTCTGGATGATGACTTTCGTAGATCTCCACGTTTCCTCCCCATACAGTAGAACTGTCTTGACATTTTTATTGAGAAATCTGACCTTGGTGTTGGTTGACAGACAGTTGTTTAGAGTTCCAGATGTTCTTTAGTTGTAAATATGCTGCTCTTGCTCTGCCGATCCGCGCCTTCATATCTTCATCAGATCCATCGTGTTCATCAATGATGCTGCCCAGATATGCAAAGGTTTTTAAAATACGCCAACTATTTATTGTTTACTTACTATTTATTAAATGAGTATCGATAAATCATTGTTTATCATTTCGTTTTGTAATTATCAGTGATGATTATGGGAAACAATTGGAACTGATTAATTTTTATCGAGATCGAATAATGATAAAACGAGCTGATGGAAGTACTGTTTATTGTCCGATTTCAATTTACCCTGATAAACTACATCAATTAGTTAGTCTAAGTAAATGGAATGAAGCACTGAAGTTATGCTGGACAGTTAAGGTAAACTAATATATTATCAGTGTTGCAATTTTATATGTGATTTACCAAATGACATTGAGCAATGAACGATAGCAAGATCTTGATTCTTATAGGTCGTCAAGATCTTTCTTAGCTAGTAGCCAATCAGAAGACGTAAATAGGACGTAGACTAGATGTCTGTTGTACTCATTTCAGTTTTAGCTCAAAATACATACAATATTACGACTGAAATGCTTGAACATACAGAACACCAAACAAGAAATCATACTTTAAACACAATCCTACCATAAGTGGTAAGAAACAGAGCAAACAGTATAATGAATTGGTAATAATTAGGGGATAGTAATATATATATATCAACAGTTGATAGGTCCACTGGAAGCTTGCGATAAGGGAAGTACAGAAATGCAACAGAACGGTTATTTACTATGTATACAATAAAATTATAAATAATAATAACCAGATAAAGTTACAACTTTTCCAATACTTGTCGCGTTATAAAAAACTATATTACATTAATCTTTGCAGTGACTTTTAATTCACTTTTACTGCTGGTGGGGTTATCTACGAACAGAAGATCCACTTCATGATCTTTTCAAAGTGAAAACAAATTGCCTATTGATAAGTCAATAATCTTACATTGAAATAGTCAGTCCCTTTGAAAAATTCAAACAATGCAGTAGAAAGGTCAAGTTCGTCAGAAACATGATATGTTGACGCAATACATTATAAGTAATCTGTTACCGATCGACATGTGAGTGTGAACGCATACAAATAGGGATGAGTAATCGGTATTTGCAAACTGGGTGGGTAAACAAGTATCAAAATGTCTGAAAAAACAAAGAAAATTCAATGATCTAATAACAGTAGATGACAAGCACCCATCTATCATTACCAAACTGAATAGTTGAAATAGATCACGTAACTTGTCCGAATTCAGCCTTTGAAGTTTTAAGTCATGTGCTACTTATTTAAATGTTCACCTTTATGTTCAACACTGAAGTTGATCAGTCTCTTTCTAGCATATTTACATCTTGAGTAGATTGCCTTGATAGTGCTACTAACTCACAAGCATTTTCTAAGCAGAGATGAATGGTGGCTAGCAGTGGAATTCAGAACGCATATCCCATCGTATTTGGTACTTGTCAGCGGGATGTATCTAAATCCCAGAATTGATGTTCACTCCGGGACAATAAAGTTTAGTTTTTTCATAGCGTCACTTAATTCGTAAGTTAATAATAAAAAGCAGTTTGAAAGTGTCTTTACGTTTGTTGGTCATCAGTCGTATGGTCATAGATCAAAGTAAAGACCTGTAAATGAAATGAGTTTATTGTTGAACTCTTACAAATATACTTCCACATAAAGCCGTTAAGAGATGCAATTAAACTCAGAATTATATTGTTATTTATTATTTAAAAACACAATAGGATCGGATTCTTTGGGCATGTTTAGCTGGCATAGCAACAAATGCTAAAATGTTGGATGTAGCGGAAATAGCATTTGCTGAAATTGAAGAAGTAAGTTTTTCTAAAAAGAGAAAAGCACGAGATCATAGTTATTCTATAAATATATATTATTTAACTTGCTAATTTTTAACCGAATCAATTTGAATAGTGTTTCTAAAATGTGGTTGTTAAGGATGCGATGTGATAGGCCTAAGAATTAGACGTATTAACATCGACTTCTTAACCGCTTTCTAGTCCTCAGAGATATTTTACTCTTTAACAATGCACCGGACAACAATAAACGGAAAATACGAGAGACTCTCTAGATTCAAGGCTAGTGACCTTAAGATTTCAGAAGTTTCTGCGAACAGGTTGAAATCGCTAATGAGATTGTTAACCATAATATAATCTGTCGTTTTCTCGAGTTCCTCTGGGGGTTTCTAGAGATCGCTGACTGGACTATGTATTCTCAGCATTATCTGCTCCTTGTAAGACATTTCTAGAAATTACAAAGGACACCCTGTAGGACTAAAAACTTCATTTGCAAAATGTTAACCAATCGTTTCAGGCTTCAAAGTTCCTTCATTTTCACACCAATCATTCACTGTTCTCGTTCTCTTCGATCCGTAGCACACAACGCATTAGTAATAATCACGTTGAATTAAAAACGGAATTAATGTTGAACAAAAATCACAATGAGCAGAGAAAATGAAAAATTTTTTCCTTTTCATTCAGTCATTTAACCCAGCATACGTCATTTGAAGCAAAGTCTATCCAGATTATGTCATGTGAACATATCACATCACTCCAATCCTTACATGAAACAAAGTTACCATTCGAATATGATTAGATAAGGATGTCGTACAAAATTAATTCTTGGCCTTATTATACCTTTGATAATGTTAGTTATTTTCTGGAAAAAGTTCGAATCAGAGTTATTCTTTATTTCGGTATCTGTGAATTTTACAAATAGAACTTTGTTTTTAGTATCTTTTATACACTTAGCACCCGATTATTGTGAAATCATCTTTTGCTTTTTATAATGGTCTTTGCCCATCAAAGTTTTTCAGCATTACTAAGCCATTCAGACATATAGTATTAGTATCTGATAAATGATATTTTGAGCGACAACTCCTAGTATTGTATATTAATTAAAGAAATCAACCAACCATTATTAATATCTTTATGAGTAACTCTTTACATAATTGCTTACCTACCCATGTTACTCCTCGTGGAGGAGCATAGGCCACACACCAGGACTCTCCATCGAGATCCTTCCTGGGCAGTCTTTTTCAGTCGCTGTTTATTCTTCTGATGTCTACTCCGCCTGTAACTCTTCTAGGGTTACTACCGGTCTCAAGCCAGGGTAAAAGAGAAGAGTTGGGCATGAGGTCAATAACCCCACTCCGTAGAAAACAACCTTGTTAAAAAAACACTATCCAGAGAAACTTTTTAATATACAATGGAATGAAATATCAAGTACTATTGACTATTATAAGAATTCACAGTAGATACAAGTTTCTATGACTCACTATTGTCAAAGGTTTGAATTCTTCCACTGTTGATATTCAAGATTGTAATTCGATCAGCTTCTGTTGACATATGCCCATCCTGCATAAACGACCTCGCTATAAGTAAGTTGCCTTGAGTTTTTACAAAATAAATGGATAAAAACATCTTCCTCATTGAACGAGTTGGTGGTTTTCTCAACTCAGTAACTCAATGGATAAGATGTTTAACATTTCAGTCCACAAGTACTCGATTTGAGTAGTGATATGAAATTCAACATTAAAGCTCAGATATATAAAGCTGATGAGTCTCAAACAGAAAGAAACATTACTCTTAGATTTCATCGTAAACAATAATCCACGTGAACGTCTTATTTGAAACCATAATTTGTTTATTGACAGAGCTGTTCATGCATAATTTACCTATTGACCATTCGTAAATCTTTTTCTAATCATTAAAACATCATTATTCAGGTCGATAAAGTGGAATATATTCGATATATCAAAAGTTTACCTACAACAGAAATGAAAAATGCTGAAATGTTACTTTTATCAGGTTAGAGGTGATTTATGATTGTATATTTGAAATACTATCACAATGCTATAAATCTTTTTCGCTAATGGTTGTTTTTAACAAACGAGGTGATTATAGAATCGAGATTAGGAAGTTTTCTCTGTTGGATATTATCATTAAGTAACACTGATATACTCAAACAATAGATTAAGTTGACAAGATAGTCGTAATCTATACTGTTGAAGACCATTGAGTAACATGAATTGCGTTGAAATGTATTTTCTTTGTCGAATTTTACGTGGCGACTTTGATCATTGGTATTATCTAGAGTGTTTATTATGAATCAGTCTCAAACAAGGATGACAAAGCTGTTAAGCCTTCATGATTTTCACTAACACAACAGAATATTATTTATTGTAAATCATGACTGAAGCACAAAATGCTTGCACTGATTACAATAACTAAGATATCATGGTATTATCCTATGAAGACAGCCGCAGCGCAAAGGAAAGTTTTTTTGATCAACACATTTGCAATTTATACTGTAATTGTAATTTATCATTTTAAAATTTTTCCTACGGTTATAAAATAAAAGGATAAGGATTTCATTGGGCATACACCTAACACTAGGCTCAACAGATCACATGATTCATCCAACTGGATTATGCAACCATTGATCACAAGCTTGAGTAAAGTGGAACAAAAGCTTACCAACACTATAAGTCAGTCGACAAATGTAATCCAGTTTGCATGAAAAATCATTGCTTACATTTTAGTGTAATCGGTTATGTATTATTTATTTATTTAATTTTTATTTGAACACATAAATATTGGTACAAGGGGGCACCAAATAAATATGCGCCACATAAATCATTCGATTTGTGTGGGGGCTGTGACACTGCCCGAGTGCCCAGACCAAAGCAGGTGGTTTTCTTAGGGGGCCACGAGCCGAGCCTTTGACCTAGAGGTCTGATCCTCAAGGCAGTGGAACATCATGAGGAGATGCAGTCCCATGATAACCGGTGACCAACGATTGGTTCATACGCCATTTGTTCCCGCAGGATACTGGAGCCCATGTGGACCATTGGTTTGGGATCCGGTTAACGCGCCGGACATTCGCTTTTCATCCTCCCATTTTCGTAAACAACACCCCCACCGCCACGAGAAGGCAGTGAGTAGGACTTCCCTGGCAGTGGCTATATATACGTGGCCGTGTGAGAGCATTTCGAGGAGGGCAAGCCCACCCCACTCTCGGCCATACCAAGGCATTTGGGGGCTCGTTAAATTATCATGGTTCAATTTCATTTAACACATAACTCGTACTATTTCTTTTGAATTCAATTTTTTATAGGTGAATATCAAGAGGCTGAAGCAATTCTACTACAGAATCATTTATATTTTCGTGCTATCATGCTCAATTTGCATGCATTTAAATGGAATAGGTCAGTTATTAAAATTGGTTTTTCTTTTCTTTACTTCATTTTACATTAAATTCTCTGATTTCTACTAGTTTTAGCAGAGAATGAAGGATGATTTTATGTGAATTACACTAATAATATTTTACTTGCTAATTGTTACTTATTAGTAATATCAAACCGAAATAGAGGAATTTATCTCCGATGTTTTATGATCAAATCTAAAAGTGTTATGAATTATGATAAATGACAATGTTAGTCGATATTCGTAAGCTACTACTTTTTGACCACAGATACCTTAGAAATATTGCTGGCATCTGCTGGTATCACCGGGTAAGTAATAATCAGGTTAGACGCAGGGTACTAGAGAATGATAGTAAATCAGTTGATGAGGTTGTGAATCTTCATCAACTGAGATGGTTGAGCAATGTATTACGCATGCCCAACCATCGATTACCATGACGTGCAATGCTGATTAGTGTTGGAGGCAGTTGGAAGAAAGTTAGAGGCGGCCTAACCACTAACTTCTAGTCTGTGCCATGTTGGTAGATGCAGACTACTTGGTTGGAGGCCTCGTGACTATCGTAACGAACGGTTGGAGACTCTGTGTGACACGGCTCAGAATCGATCACAATGGCGTCGGTGTATAAACTCTTCCCTTAAACCGTAAGATTGCATCATACCTTTCTTTCTATGAACTAATTCTTTCTTCCTGTACTAAGTCCTTATATGCAATCTTTCTTTTATATATTACCACCACTGAATTAACTACTTCTATGAATCCTGTGTTCATCGTGTTGTGCTAATGAGGTATGGCAACTTGGACCGATGCACATAAGTGCCTGGTCCTACGTTGTAGCTGACTGGCTGACTATTCGATAAATGAAATGCTTTATGAAGCTTTGTGGCCGAAGGTTAACTCCATATGGGATCAAATTATCGACACGAAGTCATTGAATGCGGTTGATATCAAAGACAAAACCAGAAAATAGGTCTGATCTTATTAAAATAACATAGTACTATACAAACTGCTAGGTAAAAAGCAACAATGATTCGACGGCATATGCAAGTTAATGTAACGTAGGAATAAAATATGATTTTTCATCGGTACGAATATACGATAATACTATGACTCTAGACTGGGCACTCAAAACGAGATAATTAGAACACTATACTAGATCATGCAGTATGTACAGGTACAATATCGGACAGAAAGCAGAGAATACAGTAATGAACTAGCAATAGGTTACTTAACATAAATGGTGAAATCCCACAGTGAGTTTAGAGAACAAATCCACAATAAAAAGGCAGTGAGACTATAATTTATGGACGATCTTTGAGTGATACCAAATTGTCCTTGAGAAACTTCAACCATTTACTACGGTCAAAATAAGTTTATAAATTAGTTTTAAGAATCGTGACTAAGAGTTAGGGTTAAAAGTTGGGATAAGGAATCAGAATTAGGTTTTTCATCGCGAAATGATATTAGGTGTTATGTAAATTTAGGATAAGGATAGACTCCACTATCGTTCGCAATAGTGACCTTGAACTTGACACCCAACCAAAATGAAGTTGGACTTGTTATTTACACGTTCATAATCCATGATGGAGGGCGTGTTTAGTTCTGTCATTATTACTGGCTTACATGATAAATGTATAGTTTTCTACGACGAAAATACTACTCCATCATCCTACGGACTTGTAAAACGTAACGCAATCAGTCATGATGGAAAAGAAATTGTAATATAGCAAAAGTCATATCTCTAATTAATTCTATGATAGAAATTATTACAGAATACCTACCACTGAGTGAGTAAATATACGAAAAAATAATTGTAATTACTTACTATACTTACGCCTGTTACTCCTCGTGGAGGAGCATAGGCCACCCATCAGCACTCGCCATCCAACCCTGTCCTGGGCAATCCTTTCCAGTTTTTATTCATCCTTTTCATATATGCTTCTATTTCCCGACGTAATGTGTTCTTTGGTCTTCCTCTTTTCCATTTCCCTTCAGGATTCCAAGTTAGGACTTACCTTGTGATGCAGTTTGATGCTATTGTTGTGTGCTAGGTTCAAAGAGAATTTTATGCTATATGCATGCAAATCCGCTCCGTTATTGTTCCTAATTACTTATTATGATACATTCAAAAATCCTGTCAACGTGAAGTTCGTCCCCAGCCATATGGATAAATAAATTTTGCACCAAAATGAGAGAGCTGTAATCTTAGGTCTGATTCGTTCGTACATAAATCATGGCCTCTCCGAAAGGCATTCACGATACTATTACTGTTTCAACATTTAGCAAAGATAAATGTCTGTCCGCTATCACACATCATGCCATTGTAAACCTCTCGTTCGCCAGTGAAATTAATATATGACTGCCAAACTACTAGTCATAACGTTTTAATTTTTCCTCTGATAATTCTAAATCATAGAAATTATTAATCGCATCCAAGAATTTATGTGTTTAGAGTAAAATTTAATCCTGCTTTTATTAGTCCACGATATTGCGCGACCGAAGGTCCCGGGTTCGAGTCCGACGTGCGGGATTGTGGCTGAGCACTGCTGAAGAGTTGCATACTAGGACGAAAAGGCTGTCCAGTGCTTCTAGGTTTTTAATGGTCGTCTAACATTGGTCTATTCGTGATATAAATTTAAACTCAACAATCTAATTTTATTATTTAACTGGGCGATAAAAATAAATTTATCTGTTTACAAAAATAGGAAATGAGAATAGTTAAATTTATAGGTCGGCTACTTCAAAGTTTGTTTAGTCGGTCAGTTATGAGCAAGTATACCCACTTAATATCGAAGCAATACGCACACTATGTACATATGCCAATAAGAGACTGATCAATCGCAGTCCTAAACATCAATGGGAAGATTCAAACAAACAATACCAAATGAATTTAAACTTAACCCGATTGCACAAGCAAATGGCTATCAGGACTCGGTAGCTAAGTGGATAACGCGATGGTGTTTGAAGCGAATGGTACTGAGTTCAAGTCGCAGAGTGAACATCAACTTTGAGATGCTGGTACATCCAGCTGACGAGTCCCAAATAGGACGAAACGTGCATCCTGGGATCCACTGTTAACCACTATCCATCCTTACATATAAATTGATAATCATTTGATAGTAGTCTTATTGAATCTGTATGTATTATTTATCCACGAGAACTGATGTGCTTATTTCAATGTTTGCTTCCTTTGATTTTATTCACTCATTTATTCATCCTCTTACAGAGCACTTGAATTGGCAAATAAATATAATTTAGCAGTTGATATTGTATTATCAATGAGACATGATTATTTAAAACAATTAAATCGTGTTGAAGAATTACATTTATTCAATTCACAATCAAAACAAGCAAGTTAAATATTACAATTAAACATTAATTTATAAATAATAATTGTTGCATTTAGTTTGGATATAGTAGTGAATTCTTGAAGAGTTTCTTTCCAAAGGTTCTTTTTCAACAATGATTAACAGTCAGATTTTTGGATACAGTTCTACTTTAGTAAACTTTTCATCTCATAATATAATGAGTATGGTAGACTAGGACATTGTAGTGGTGTCTTTTTCTTCTCCTGCAACAATATGCACTAAGCTTAATAATAAAATAGCACTGGTTACGCCTTAATAATCAACTGGTGTGTAGACATATCAGTTTTAACGGGTCAATCACTAATTGCATAAGAACTCAGTGATAACAGCTATAACAAAAACACAGATCCATGTTACGTGAGTTAGGCTAATGATCACAAGATTGTAGATATGTCATGTTGAAAAATGCTAATTAGATTAAACAAAGCTATCTGTTAAGTTGATTTCAATAACCTAATATGAGACAGTGTATTGTAGTGTTACACTAATATTTGATATGGACGAATAACTGGGAAAGGTAAAAAGTTTAGAACTTTTCTACGGAAAATTATTATATATTTTTTTGTTACGTAGTTGTTAAATGTTTATGACATTTTTATATTACGGTTATATATATATATATATATATATATATATATATATACAATCCTGTGAATCGTAGGATAAAACAATCAGAGAAGCTGAGTCTATTCGCTATTTTCGTGTTCTGACTGGCTACGTGGACCAACAGGTGTTCATATTTCCAGTCGTTATTGGTCACTTGTGTTGCCGTTTGCGGTGGTGATTGGTTTTATTAGAATCGAGCGAACTCATCATTAGTGGATACTATGATCGAGTGGGCAAGTGAAAGTTCAAAGGTTATAACAAATAAAGACTAAATAATATATGTATTGGTCAGTTGGAGTGAACTTCTCATTCTAAAATTAAGACATACGCTTTCGGTTAGATGAAATGGGTTTTTTCGTACATGAGGACTATCCACTGCAACTATTATTATAGAGTAGTGAACTAGTTATTACTTTTAGTATATTACTGAAATTTCAACAGCACACAAATTAAGCACTGGATAGGTAAGATCAATCAGATAGATTAGTTCAGGGCCGAACGATAAGAGGTGTTGATATGAGGACACTACTGGTCACGATTCGGCTCAACTATCGAAAGAAACGGACGTACATCAATAGTTGAGAATCTGGCTAAATTTTCCGGGGAACATATGTCTGTATTAATGAATTTGTGCATATATTTTGGTTCGGGTTAACCAATAAAAATCTCATACTCACTCTTGGCTTTCCACTCAATCGGGAGTTTGAGTTCGCGTATAGGGAAGGTATATATCAGTATCAGAAAACGGATGACCGCCTCAACACAACAGAACTAATATTTGGCTACCACATAACTTTAGTTTAATTATTTGTATTTCAAATAGTAATGAAGAAATATTTCTTTTTCAAGAGTACATTAGATGCATCGGAATTGAAAGAAAGAATTGACGAGGAATATCTAAATGAGAAGAAACAACTCCAAGAATTATCAACCACTTGAAAAATATATCAAACAATGTACGAGCATGTATATGAACCGCATATTTTTCAAAAACGTGTTTACCCTTATGATTCACTAATAATAATAACGATCAAAATTCGATTGTTGTTTCTCAATTATGCTGTGATTTCACATTTTTGAAGTTAATTCTCTATATTGACTAACGTAGTTGGAGTTTTTGATTGTTGGATTATTGACCACCACAGAAATAGATTACTATTGCAGCTACCTAGTTAGATATCTACAGCTGCCATTCTATCCGCTCTAGATACCTTGATTGATATTAGGAGAGAATTAGTGACTCATTACTGTGCCGGAAAATCACTATGACAAACAGATTCACCTGAACGATGATTGCTTTAGCTTTACCAATGGAAAGAAGGCATGTCTAGTCGAGTAGCGGTTCCAGCTATTCTTCACTCAACTGCCCTTTAACAATTTCACTCTGGACATCATAAGAAGTTTTCAACTTTGATTAAAGTCAAGAGGCAACATCAACGTTCAATAGATGCTGGAGATAAACTATTAAAAGTTAGCAAAAAAGTTACTGAACAAAGCTTTAAGGCATTTTTCATCATTCTAATCGTTTTATCTCAGTGTGAATCACTGACGAATTCTTCCCTGACGTTTTTGCAAAGTTTAAACAACTACTTTATGGTCTTCTCTTATTCGTATACTTTTACACTACCCAAAATGGTCCCATTGAATTCTTGTCAATCTACATGTAAACTACTTGATATCAGCGACCGACTTAAGCTAGAAATTCATTGAAGACCAGAACGTGATGGCGAGCCGTTTTGTCTTAGTAAAGCATTCCTTAGAAGTGAGTATTCGCAGCCCGATCACCTGGGGTCGGATCCAGGACTTTCGGTCATGCGTTTGAGCACGACCTCTAGACCACTGAGACGGAATACACTGATGAATATGTCGAACTTTAATCAATTCACTATATTAAACGACCGTCTCACACTATCTAAGGTGGGTAACAGTTTTACAACCGATACATTTGTATGGCTCATCATGTATTTTTAAAATAAGATTTCCGCCTAACAACTAACCGATCCTCTTTAAATCACGTTAAAAAACTAGCTTGAATTAGATTAAAAAATTTATTCTATACAGTCAACATAATAAAAGCATAGTGAGACATCACTAAACATTCAAAATATTAATTAGTATCTGCCATTTCCACAGAATTATCAGCGTTCGCTTCATCTGTATTGATGGTAGTAGTAGTAGTAGGAGTACCGATAGAAACGCCAGAGGCATCATCATTATCAACCAACATAAGACTAGCAGTATGATCTAATCCTTGACTGATACCCATAACATCACCGCAATGATTATTTTCGGTAGTAGCCGACTCCAGCCGTTGCTGTTGTTCTTGAGGAAATTTATTTAAATCTGTGCTTGAAATGGATAAACTAGACGATGAATCATTGCCGATAGTAATATCTTTTGAGTTAACAGTAGTAGTAGTAGCAGTAGTAGTAGTACTAGTATTCGATATTGTTATCGTTTTATTCTGTACGTGTTGTTGTTTTTGTAATTGAGTCATTAAATATTGCAATTTTTGATCGTATAATTCACGAACATAATTGCTCATTTGTGGCATATCTTTAATGATCAAAGGTGGTTGATTAAGATCATGATCAGTTTGTAGACGATGTTGTTCCTTCAGTACCGTTGGACTACGGGGATCCTAAGTTATTTTGTTTTAGAAGAAAAAAGTTAATTGGTTTAAAATTGACTGTATTGCAAAGGAGATATACGTATGAATAGCAAATACGCAAACTGAAAAGTTAGTATTAGATATTTTACCTGTGAAAGAGTGAGTAATACTGAGGTTAGACACATGATATTAGGTAAATATGGAGAATCGTTTGAAGTAGTGAGTCTTTATCGACTAAAGTGATTGGGATATGTTATATGTGTCTACTTTGGCTGATGTAGAAGTAGATTGAAAGAAAACTAGGGGAAATCAAACAAGAACGTAACATCAGTTCACGAAGTCATTGACTGTTGGATTGAGTCGTGTTGGTAAGGGGCACAAACCTAGCCGAAGTTCATACAATTATTGTAAACAATTGATATGGATGTTGAGTGACACTATTTCGGGATAGGAAGCATTGACACAGATGCATTTACTCTTTATATTCCACAAGTTCATTTATTTTTTTCTTGAGTTATGTCGTCTATGCCTTGTCCTTTCAGGTACTGTTAAAAACTAAACTCAATTAGTCTCTCTGTGCTAATATAGTATGACAACTTGGACTGATGCGCATAAATACAAGATTCTACGTTGTGTACGAGTGACTGACCGACCACTTGTAAGTAAACTATATAACTATCAGGATATTTGCGCAAGGTGTGATAATTCACGTGATTTATTGTAATTGTTGGGCATACAAATTAATTTAATCACATCTGGTTAACCATTTTTGTCCCCGTTTGGCTCCAGTATTATCGAACGATAACGATGTTAATAGGATATACATAGTACACTTATCTTTGTATTTATCCCACCGACTAAACACGTTTAGAACAAAATTGTGTATTAAAAATAGAAATAAGAGTGTTTCGGACGGGTATACATCCGTTTATGCACTAAAAGATAGGTCGATAAAGCAGCGACCATTCAACAAATAACGACTAATCTGATCAATATTATGTACTATATTCATGTATATGTGATGAGAACTACGTTGTTTAACTATGAGTTGTAGTGAAACACCACTGAAATAAATATGATATAACGGCAGAATATAAATGTTTACCGTTTCTTACATCACACTAACTATGACACGATTTTACGACTAGCAACCGAAATTACACTACAACTGAACCGAATACTCGATCGATAAGACATACACAGACTGGATCACGTTATACCACATATCTGATTCAAGACCGACACTTTATTCAACGCAATTCTCAGCAGTCACATGAGTTAGGAGTTGGTTAGAACCAATCGGTAGGAATCTATGAACTTAAGTCTCGTGCTAAATAGTACTAGTCAGCATGACTAGACCCAACCATATTCAACGCGATACCGACTCATTTAAACTAATGGTCACACTGCAACTTGATCGGTAGCAGTTTGTATTCTCGCATTATTGATGCTAATCTTTGCAACTTATCCATCATTGTTGGCACATGTGCATCTTAAGTGCTTTGGGATGTTATTTAAATCTAAGAAACCCATTAACAAACAAGATGTATCCTGACATTCAAGTGTGTCGTAGAAACTGAGTAGATTACCGTAGAACTGCTTCACTAGTGCGTTAAATCAATCGATTGTGAGCTTAAATGAGGGAAACAGAAAAAATATTAAAGTCGAATTAATCCATATTATAAATTGAAAATGGAGAACTTTAAGTCGATTGAGTCATAAATAGTACAAATTACTAACATAACAAAACAAAATAACTTCATTGGTAATGCTGAGAACACTTCATATACAAAACGTAAGAACAAATTAAGTCTTGATTACGATGATAACAAAGAGTTAGATGCTATTCAGTTAACACATAAACTCAATAGCGTACAGAATGAGATCATCCATGTATCTTATATACAGCGATACCTCATTGATTAAACCACTCATCATATTTTCAACATACGACATATATACAACAACTAAGAGAGAAATGAAGTTTTCCAATAGGTAATAAGAGTAATTTTTTTCAATAATGCTACTGAACTAATTGTGATCCAAAAGGGAAGACTCATGACTCCATATAGGCCTAGTCGTTATTTTGTTTAGTAAGTAATCTCGATTATTCAATATTCAATCGATGTGAAGTTTATCATTTCCAATTAATAAAATGGATTAATTCAGCTTTAATATTTTGTCAATTGCAATATAAAAATGATAACGAAGTTATCGAAAACGATCTAGTACTCTATTGTCAAACAGATAGTAGCCTTACGTCTTAGTTTTACAGCGTTAATGAAAGCTTATGAATTATTTGAAAAATTTTTAATAAAAGAAGTTATATGATATGACAGAATTAATCCCCCCAAAGAAACTTACAATCCATACTTCCCATGGTGTTAGGTGTAGCTCAGTCGGTTTCATTTGTTTACTTTCATCAGATGTACGATTTAAAAGTAAATCAAAAGCAGGTTTTAATTCTGGACAATTGGCAAATTGTTCAATTCTAGCAAATATATACAATCCAAGCCTGGCACGTGATAAAGCAACAATTAAACGGCGAACATCACGTAAATGACCAACAGTACGTGTACGTACTAATGAAACTAGTACATAATCGTTTTGTTGACCCTAAACAATAATAATAATAATAATAATAATAATAATAATAATAGACCGTCGTTAGTTATTGGTCCAGACGGGGTGAAGAAAATGAATTAATTCTAAGCAAAGAGTAAAATCCTACTTAATTAACTAGGTGAACCACCATCGACTGAGATAGTCAGGATATGTAATTAAATATGCCAATCCACCGACTATCCCAACGCGCGATGATGGCAAGTGTAGAAGTAGATAAATAGAAAGCTAGAGGGTGGCCAAAGCAAGATGTGGCACCAGTCCATGAATACCCTGATTGTTGAACTGAGCCATATAGATAGATGCAGACTACCTGGTTGAAGTTCGCGTGATCACTGTAAACAATGGGTAGAGATTTTGGGTGAAGTGGCTTAAAGTTGTTTACAATCGCGCAAAAAGATTTATACTGCATTTTATGCAATCTTGAGTTTTCAAATAACTGTTTATTCCAAAAATCCAAATTTTCTTGTTGAACAGCGTCTTCCTTCGATGCCTGATTTTTTCTATTACCACTAAAACTTACTTTCTCTACTACTCTGGGATTCAGCCCGACAATCTCATCTAATGGGGTGTGGCAACGTGAATCAATGTATACATACGCCAGATTCTACGTTGCACACAACTGACTGATTAAATTATATTACACTCTCGAAGAACCAATATAGTACATAAAGAAATTTGGTTGCCATTTCCTTAAAAGACAATA